TGTGTGTGTGTGTGTGTGTATGTATGTATGTATGTATGTATGTGTATGTAATCACACAGTACTTTTACTTAGAAGGACTGAAAGCAAACAAAAAAGTCAGAGTAATTACTGAATTACGGTAAGTGTTTTTCTTATTTGTGTGGCTTTTGACTCAGTTCTTAGGATTCACTTTCTGGATTAAAAATTAAATAAAGCATAAAAATAAATGAGATGTCAGGGACAATATATATGATATGATCCATTTACTGAGATTTATGAACTTACTGTTCCATTACAATATACAGTATTAATACAAATCTCAGACAGTTCTGTAGTAATATATTCTGACTTTAAATACTATTACCCTTCATTAGGAGTTATCAGGAGAATATGTGTTAATGACTGAATAATCACGAGTCATTTATTCATCCTGAGTCCATCCCTTGTTTCTTAATTACAAATTACTTCAAAGCGTTTAATGATAAATAATTACCTGAAGGTTTTCAAGCTGTTATTTCCTCATTTTTTTTACTCCTTGGAAGTAAAAAAGGCGTCTCATTCTGCAGAACAGTATAATGTATGACTGTGCACGGTGGAGGTTCTAACCTTTTCACCCCATGTTTTTCAGAGTGAGAATAAAAAATGTTGCGAATAGTGTCAAAAAGAAAGTGCTCTGTGTGAACAGATGAAAAAGAAACCCAGTGTAAAATGCTTTGAAGAACCCAGACAAKGTTAAACAGGTGTTGTATAAGTGTAGGTCATTTGACTTTGGATCTGAAAATTGAACTAATCGTTTTCCATGAAGCAAGAAAAGACTGTAAAAAAAGATCAAAAGCTTCTTATTCTGTCTGGCTGAAAGGCCATTAGGAGGCGTCATCAAGACAAAAGAATCTGACAGAAAATCTGCAGATTTCCTGGGCAGAGAGCCAAAACAAAGGCTTCATTTAGCTGGAAAAAAAAGATGGCGAAATAAGATCAAAATATAATTACAAAAACAACAAACTGCAAGTTTTCATTAAAATGTAAAATTTACAAGCAAAGAATCATTCCGTTTAACACCAACAACTTCTTTCAAGAGAATTAACAAGTAAAAAAACAAGTACAGCAGTTGTTAGGTTCGAGTACATTTTTAAATTATGTTTAAAATAACAGGTTTCCTGATCGATTCAAGCCAGGCCTGTTGCTGACTGGAATAAGAGCCCAGACTGACTTCATTATTGAAAACCATTATTTATGTTTACAGCCATCAGTTTGGTCTTTAATCTTCACGGACGTCCTGCCTCTGAGTCCTGACCTCAGAATCCGTCCACTTCATTAAAAGAAAAAAACAGAATGAGTTAAATCGCCCAGAATGGAAACAAATCTCAGATGAACAGTGCACACCGCAGTTCTGCACATGTTCTAATGGGTTAAAGTTAGCCTATTTCTAAAGTCAAGTCTTCAGAATACAAAACCAACCTTTCCACTTGTGTATGTGGGTGGAAATCTTCTGCATTGCAGTTGTGTGGCAGCCAGTTAGTGCGAGGGGGAAAAATGCACAGATTCCTGTGAACGAAGGCAAATTACAGCTATGTTACAATGTAAACTGAGACTTTTGAAAAACTATTAACAACTTTTTCAGTTTCTGAAGTATTATTTAGCATTGGATAATGATTTAAACAAAGGCAAACTTTTTTAACCCTTTCAGTGCTTAAAAATAAAGTACGAAATACAGAACTAATCAATAAACTAAAACATTTGCAGGATGGTGGAATCTGGCAACTCCTCTTGAAATTTTTATTCTCTACAGCAGAGGTTCTCAAACTGGGGTCCCTTGACCCCCAGGGGTCCGCGAGAGGTATCTTGGGGGTCCTCAAAAACTTTTACTAAAATGTTAATTTGGTTTTTATTTTTAAAAATACATGGAGAACAATGGATTAATCAAACAAACAAAATAAACTTAATAAAAATATACATTCCTATGGCATTTAGGGGTTGAAATGACAATAAATTATCTTTTAAAACAGCATGGGGTTTATGAGGGGGTCCCTGGAATTTTTTTCGCCCTTGTAAGGGGTCTCTAGACCCAAATGGCTTGAGAACTCCTGCTCTACAGACTGAAGAGAAGCATGGCTCATGTTGTAGTATAGAAAAAAAAAACTAAATCAAAAGCATGTTCTGGAATCGGTTCAGTCCTTTCATTCAGCTCATTCAGTCTCTGTCTCATCGTGAAAATCCTCAAAGTTCAGTTTGATGCRTGAACGCCATCAGCCTCATGCACATTCTGTTTGATCAGAGCCCAGTTATTTAGATTAAAGGTCATACTGGATCCACAAGCAAGCAAGAGAAAAAAACATCTAACAGACACGCAAATCAGGATTTCAGGATGACGTGTTTTTATTTAAACACTGAGCTCCGATATGACATAATGTTTTCTGACTTTCATCCAAAAAGAAGAATGGAGTGACGTTTTAAGAGCTTATGATTATAGATGTTTATCATTTTGTAGCCTGCGATGAAATAAAAAAGGAAATCCTTTTTCAAACTGTTTATTCAGATTTTTGGCAAGGCGGCATACATCTGAAACAATTTCCTTGGAACTATGTTTTTTTTTTTCTTATAAAAATGACAAGAAAAGCCTCGGAGTTTGACTTCCTTTGTGTTCTCCTCCTATTTAGCAGCTCAGCTTTTTTCTTTTTTCTTTTTGCAAGACTTTTCCCAACTTTTCACCCTCTCAAAGTGCTTGCGGCAACAAAAGACTCCCGAGGCTTAGCAGCTACAAAAAAAAAAAAAAAAAAAAAAAGGGAAAGAAAAAACTCATGTGTTCTATTACTGCGTTTGCACAAATCCCTGCAAGCTCAGCCTCTGCTTCTTTATGCCTAAATGACAGTTCCCTGAGAGTACGGTAGTCACTGTTCTGCTCCACTGGACCACAGTGATGTGAGAGCAGCCCGTCCTGAGGTCTCTGCAGTGTGGCGCTCACAAGCCCATAAATCTGAATGGTGTCATCTTCCCTCTTGTGAATAGTCATCCTGGTGTCWCAGCAGAGGGAGGTCAAGGAGCTGGATTGTGGCTAAAGTTTTCATCCCTGTTGGATTCCAGGGGTTTCTGGCCGTCGACTGATAATAATTTAATGAGAAACGTCTGATTCGTATCAGTGGAAATGTTAGTGCTTGGTGCATTTTAAAAGACTGCTTTTATTTTTCTCTGATCTCTTTTAGATATGTTTAATTTACAAACAAGGCGATGCTCAATATGCCCACAGCATCTTTCAGAGTTGTTTATATACATGTACCTGCAAGATCGATCCAACTGACACCACGGTGATCTCCATCGGCTCTGAAAATTACCCACTCAGAGTCGATGCAACACTAATTTAGACCATTCCTATTTCTCTTGTTTCCAAACAGGATTTAATAATCCCAGAAGGGCCGAGCATCTCAGTTCCCATGTTTCTGTCTGTCAGTAAATCCTCATTAGCAGCAGCAGTCTGATCCCGGACAGATCAACAGCAGAAAACCATGTCAATATCCAGTTCAAAGTAAATAATCTGCAGGATTCAGATTCTTCCATGCTGTTTTTGTGACATGTTTAGTTTTCTTCAGAAAACAGCAACGCTCGTGTATCTTCGTTAGCATGCATTTAGCGTGTGATCGATAAACAGATGAGGGTTCATGAGCTCTGATGTTTGCTCTGAGAATCAACGGTTCTGGTGTCGTATAGTGAGGAGATTACCCCGTCCTGTTTGACTGACAGGTGACAGATTTAAAAGATGTGGAGCTTCATTAACTGCTGGTATGTTAGTCTCTGCGTGACGAGACAGATAATCAGCAAGAAGAGGGTGGTTCAGCATAGATGTGTCACATTTTTAATATGATTTTGGCATTTAGATTTTATTTGATTTGTGAGAAATTCATACGAACGCAACACCTCACTCCTTTAAAACCTGACATTTATTTGTGTGTTTGGCATTTGAACCAGACATTCATCATCTTTAATTTCATATTAAGCTTGTGTTTTATTCTAACTGTATTTTATGATCGTGCTTTTTATTCGTATTGTTTTATCCATTCATTTGTTTGCCCTTTCCTGAATCTTTTATGTGAGCAGCGCAATGTTTTAAAAATATTTTGTAAATCTGACTTGAATTGACTTCACTTGAGCAGATTCTGGTAATTATCTGGTTCTTTTAATGTGAAGACAGGAAGAATTATAGCAGCAATGATGCCCTTTTCAATTTCTATTATTTAGTTTTAGATTTTTTTGTCTTTGTTGTTAGCTTTATTTTCTTTTTAGTTATTGTGTTATTCTGTGTTTCTGCTGTGCCACCAGGTCATCACTCAGCACTTTGTTTCTGCTCCTTCAGTCAGTTTGCCACGCCCATTTTCACCTGCTTCTTGTTTCCCCACTGACATGCGTTTATGTGTTTCCCAGTCACACCTGTAGTCACGTCTGTTTAGAATCCTGTAAGTTTTAGTTTTCATTCGGTCTGCATTTCTTGGTCCAGAACCTCCGTACAACCGTGACAGCTCATTAGTGCTGCAGCGAGGCTTTTAACAGGTACTAACAGAAGTGCACATATCACACCAGTTTTATCCTCTTTATTTCTACCTGTCAAATTCAGAGTTGATTTAAAAATTTCAGTCTTAAGTTTTAGAGCTCTTAATGAACAGGCCCCTCAGAAATCTTGACTCCTTTCTGGCTGCAGTCTTCAGTATCCTGGCCAAAAATCTCCTGAAGGTTCCTAAAACTAGATTTAAAGGCCCTGTCACACTATGGCGAATTAGATAAATTATGCCAACTTATGAAATGCTTTTTTTACACTAAATGGCTAATAAAAGTTAGATATTTTATAAATGTGTTAGCATTACAGTATTTACATGCCTAAAAGAAGCTTCCAGTTGATTTTTTTAATTCTATCTTCAACGTAGGTCTTCAGACTTTTCAATAAGTTGGCATAAGTTGTCTAAAACATCACAGTGACAGGGCGGACCTGTTCTTTCAAACAAGAGCCCCTAAATTGTGGATCACCCAGCCCCTGTGTCTCATGAGGCTGACTGTCGACTTCTTTTAAAAGCACCACGTTAAGACAAGCTTTTATTTAAATATAGTGTTTTATTAGAAATATTAATGTGTTTTATCGTATGCTTTCATGCTAATGTTTGTATTTACTTTAGTTTTGCTCCTTGTGATGCACTTTGCGCCATCAGTGAAAAGTGCTACACAAACAACATTTACTTACTTTGTAAAAAAAACTGACAAAGGTCACTGAAATAACTTGAAACTGACAAGCTTCATAATAAGAATAAAAAATAAACTAAAAGGAAAACAGTTCTTTTTAAACTTTGTTAAAGTTAAATGAGAACGGTAGCTGATGAAACTGACTTTGGCCGAAGGATTTGAAGTTTAACTGCAGTTTCCACAGATGTTCAGCAGGATTTAAATCAAGAATCAGAATAGTCCAGTGTTTTGTTTTTAGTCATTCTTGGGTGTTTTCAGCTCGTTATCTTATTCCTGGACCCCTGACCTGCCATTGAAACCAAACCCTCTGACAGTGCGAAACACATTTTCCCTCAGAATGCCTAGATTTGAGATTTACCTGCCCTCTGCACAGATTAAAGACATGTGTCCCAGAATATAATGTTTCACTGTAAACAGTGTTTCTGCACATCAAACTCTTTGTGTTTCTGGCACAAATATTATTGCCATCACTGAGGCCTTTCCTTTCTTTTAAAAAAAATTCTGCATCATTTTAGGAGGAATAGAATAATTTCCACTTTGCTTTACTTGGCTATCTTTTTTTTTCACTCCGTCTTTCCAAATGAAAAGTGAAGTTGTTGGAGAAATCGGAGCAGATGCACCTCAGCAGAATCCTGCTCGCTCAGCGAACACATCTCTTGGATTTAATAGTCACTCATCTCCAGCACTTTAAAGCAGCTAAATTTGTCCTCGATCTGCTGGCTGCACACCGAGCTGCCAGGAGAGCGTTTAAAGTACGAACAACGGCAGCTTTCACAAAAGGAAGAGCTAATCCTGATTATTTTGGTGACTGTATTCTTCTGTGTGGATTTCTGAGGTCTGTGCGCTTGTTTCAGCGTTCAGGCCTGCAAGCTTGTGTGAATCTTTGAGTTCCTCCAGTGTAAAAAGCAGTGTAAAAAGCAGTGTGAACACGCGGCGTTGCATAGCTGAGAAGTGGTTTGATTTAATTCACACACCTCAGGAGCAGCACACGGTGCTCCGTTCACATCCCCGCTGTGGTTCTGCAGCGTTGAACTGGTTGCCTGTGTGCTGCTGACGGTGCAAATCTGCTTCTCCGTGCTCAGGACATTACGGTTCCTTTTTGGATTCTTTTCCTCAGATACACTTTTTTTTAAAAACGCCGAGCCGCTTCTCGAAACAGCCGTGTTTGTCAGAGTTTCTCTCAGGGAGCTGCCACCATCCATCACAGAGCAGACAAAGAAACAGAAGAGGAGGAGGAGGAGGAGGAGGAGAAGGGGGTCTGAGACAAGAAAACAGTCAACAATCCTCAAAAAAAAAAGAGAAGAAAACTTAGAAACTTGTGCATTTTGAAATTCAACTCTGTTCCCAGATCAGTTTGGATGCGATGGGGAAAAGAGGCCGAATAGAAAGGATTTGCAAAACAAAAAGTCCAAACTTTTGTTGTTCCCAGCAGCGCATTTTATACAAACTGAAATAGATGCATCCAACAAACAGATTTTAACAAACAAACCTAAAATGTTTGGCTTCTGTTTCATTTTCAAATATTATCCTATTTTCCTCTGCGTTGCATCATTTTCTTCTTTTATCTACACACCTCTGATGCTTAGGACATAAAGAGATCAGCTCATCAAATTTTTAAAGCAAAATGTTTTTCTTTTTTGTTCTCAGTCATTCAGACAAATGCAAATAATAATAATAATAATAATAATAATAATAATAATAAAGAGCTGAAGCAAAAGTTTTTGGCTTCTCTAAGCTGGTTTACACCACCGGAGAGCTCATTGTGCACATTGCTGCAGTACGAACTTGTTTTAATGCAGCACAGCATCCAAAATCAGCTTAGAGGCTTCATCGCTTCACAGCTTTTACTTCTGYGGCCAGATTATGAAACCAGAACATAAACAATCCTCACTGAATTAAAGTTAGATACTCCTTAACAAAAAGCTATCTGAAAACTTTACCCTTAAAGTTGTGAAGAATCTTGACATGAAAACATCTCTCAGAGATGAGATGAGAGATCTCTCAACTAAAAAAATGAGATTAAAGGATGTTCAGATATAGTTTTTGCCAAGTTTTCACTCTTCTTTTTTTCTTAACTTGACCAAACAGAGACGTTTCTGTGACAGCGGCGTGGTGACAGCTCTGGTGTTCRGAGCGGCGTGCTTCTCCGTGGCAGCCCCGCGCCTCGGATCGGCACAAAAACAAACAGGCAGATTTGACTCTGTGACAACCTCCGCATCCAGCTCAAGCTTTTTACTGCGGCTTTGTTTCTGCGCTTCACACACACAAAACAACAACAAGAGCAGCAGTCCCCCACCTTGGATGTGCAGGTTTAAAAATAACACCATAAACAGGTTTAGGCTAGAATCTAATTACGTCAATTTCCCAGCAGCACAACTTTATAAAACTTCTGGTTCGACTGGAGATTATTTTGTCTCACAATTTATTTTGTTTGTTCATGGTTATTATTA